CGGGGTCTCGCTCTTGCTCATGCTAGTTTTGAATTCCTGAGCTCAAACAATCCGCCCGCCTTGGCCTCCCAGAGAGCTAGGATTACAGGCGTGAGCCACCGCGCCTGACCTTTAAATACCTTTTATATCACTTCTCACTGTACTCAAAAGAGTTTATTTATTTAAGCTGGTTGGACATGGTGGGGAGTATCCTCCTGAATCTGAAGATAACACCTTTGCCAATCGTCAAGTCAGATTATAAGTAATTTAAGGGGTTCAGACATCTAGTGGGTAATCATTACTACTGTTAATATTTATGAATGAAAAATGAAGTGCATTATTGCCTTAGAGGTCAAGCATTTTCATTTTTAGAAACATCCACGGTACCTTACCTGGTCCCTGGCCAATTTTGATATTACCTCATTTATATTAGTAAATTTTTTTTTTTTTTTTTTTTTGAGGCAGGGTCTTGCTTTGTCAGCCCGGGTCGAGTACAGTGGCATCATCGTCATAGCTCACTGCAACCTCACACTTCTGGGCTGAAGAGATTCTCCTGTCTCAGACTTCCCAGTAGCTGGGACTATAGGTGTGCACCACCATGCCTAGCTGATTTTTGTATTTTTTGTAGAGATGGTGCCTCGCTCTTGCTCAGGCTGGTCTCAAATTCCTGGCCTCCATCAATCCTCCCTACTTACTTGGCCTTCCAAAATGCTAGGATTATAGGCTTGAGCCATTCAGCCTGGCCAATAAAATTTTTATGTAGGCAAAAGTAACAACTCTTTTTATTACTCCTATACATAGTTGCTTTCATAACAGCACTTTTATTTTGAAATGAGCTTTCATTCAAATAATCGTGATTAAATTATTAGTTTATTTAGAAGCAGAAGATTAAGGCAGCAAGGAAATGGGGGCCAGATCTTTTAGTGCCCTGTAGGTCATTTCCATCTTAGTGACTTTGGTTTTTCTCTGAGTAAGATGAGATGATGCATTTGGAAAGTTTGGTGCAGAGGAAGGTCCTGTCCTGATCTACATTTTAAAAGAATCACACTGGTTGCTGTTCTAAGAACAAACTGGGCAGGGGGTGGGGGTATGGGTTGAAGCCCAGAGACCAGTTAGAAGATACATTACAATAATAAAAATAAAACAAAAAGCATCAAAGTGAAATGTGACAGATACCAATTGTATAACTTAGTACTTAAGGAAATTGGACATTTCATACTTAATAACCTAATGTGTGTGTGTGTGTATTTTTTTTTTTTTTTGAAGGTCAAGCTGACAGGATATATTGAGAAATTAGAGTGGGGTGTGAGATAGAGGAGTATGGGTGGAGTCCAAGGTTTTTGGCCTGAACAACTGAAAAGAACTGCTATTTAACTAAGATGGATAAGAATGCAGGAAAAGCAGGCTTGGGAGAGAATATCAGGAGCTTGGTTTTTGGATGAGTTAACTTTGACATACCTATTAGATTAATGCTTTTTGAACTATCAAAACTGGTAGAGGACCAGTTTATCTACTCCTACTACATTACATACTGATACTTTTGAACAATATAATAAAATCGAATTACTAGAAAAGTGAAATTAATGAAAAACAAAGTTCAAGTCTACCAAAATTATTAGAGTCAACAAACATAAAATTACTCTGTCAAGGTTCTAAACCCTTAATTTTTGTACTTACCATCTTTTTGGCCAGTAATAAACAGTTCATGGACTACACTTGAGTAACACTGTTTTAAACATCAAGCAGAGATGTTGAATAAA